AATCGAATTTTAAATCAATTTTTTTTAAATAACAAAAATATCTCAACTCCATAAATTATTGACACGTCATAAAATTTAATACTTTGTTTGACCCGTCAACGATAAACTTGTGGTTGGGGTACATTTTTGTTTTAAATATACATTTTTTTACTTGTCCTTTATCAATTCGTTGGGGTTTGATATAATCTATGTTATATTATAAAACATTTGTTAAAAACTTTTAAAAACTATTTTTTATGTATGAAATATTGTTTATTGATACATATTATTTAAAATTTAAGATTATAAGTAAATTCTTTGTACGTACAAACTATTAAAGCTTCATGTTTGAATTCGTGTAACTAACTGCAAATAAACATAATCAAATAGATGATAAACATCTCATTTTAAATATAAAAAATCTAAAATATAATTATGATAATCATTGAGTTCCAACAAAATAATTAATAATTATCTTTATGAAAAATTATATTATTAAACCAAAAATAAAAAAATGAGTTAAGAAAATACACAAAAAAATAATTTTTTTAAATAGTTAGTTTGGTACTAATATAAAAAAAAATCATTTTTTATGAATTTTTATATTTATATTTTATTCAAAACAAAAAACATTATCGTTTTCTCAAAATCACATAAAATTGTATTATAACATCGACTAAAACAAAAAAAGAACGAAATACTAAAATCGAGATGTATCTCGCTACATTGCGCGAGTACCCTTCTAGTAATAATAAAACTAACTCTTGGTAAGAATAAACTCGTTATCTGTTATGTTTTAATCTGTTGGATAATAATATGGGTAAAGAAAATCTTATATATTTATCTATTACCTGTTTACCTTGAAATTTTAGTATATAAGGTATGTATAAATGGTTTTTCGTTATCCATTAACCGTTACCTGTCACGAAATATGGTGGGGGTGAGGGGGACTGTGTTCACATGAGACCAACTTATTTTCGTGAAATCCGTGAGACTATTTTTTTACGCTTGAAACTTCACAATAAAATGTTGTGAAGGTAACATTCACAGTATTTTTGCTATGAGAGGTTGTTTTTTTTACCTTCACGGCGTTTTGTTGTGAAATTTCAAGTGTAAAAAAGTAGTATCACGTGATCCCAAGTCTGTGTGTATTAACATATATAAAGTTAAATATTTATATATATATATATATATATATATATATACACATACACACAGAGGGTTGGGTTCACGTAAGACCAACCTGTTTTCGTGAGACTCATGAGACCACATTTTTACACGTAAACTTCACAGCAAAAACACTGTGAAGGTTTAAAAAAAGTCGAACCTTCACAGCAAAAACACTGTGAAGGTTTAAAAAAAGTCGAACCTTCACAGCAAAAACACTGTGAAGTACCCTTCTAATTGAAACATTAAAATTGAGATATATCTCGTTATATTATGCGAGTACCCTTCTAATTTTAAGTTAAATACTAATAAATGCAATCATACTAATAAATGCAATCATACATAGTGTTTAATAGGGCCAAGATCAAATGCTTACCATCATTTTTGTGTTAACCTTATTAACTGATCTTGGTCATCCAAATCTATAATCAGCGGTTAAGATTAATCAATAAAAAAAATTCAATTTTAAAGTTTGAATTTTAATGAGGCTTAGTGAACAATGATGAAAGGGGCATTTTGGGAAGAAAAAATATATTTATCAAGTGTATTCTAGTAAATTGAATTCATTTGTAACCCCCAAACAATTAATGAGGAGTTAAAAACAATCAAATCCCAAAAAATATGCATTCATATTATTATTATTATTATTTTACTATTGATCTTCCATGTTCATTCTTGTATGAATTCATAAATCGCATAAGAAACACGGTAGTAATAATTTTCGGTATTGATCAATTTGAACACAAATGAACCGTGAACACAATTTGAACAAAAATGAATAACCATGAACACAATTTGTACACAAATGAACCGTGAACACGATATGAACACAAATGAACACGACATGTGCAATTTTTGGCCCATATATTCACATACATAGACATCCCACAAAATTAAGGTAGYATCTGTTAATTTGTGTTCATCTGTTAATTTGTTCAAATTGTGTTCACGGTTCATTTGTGTTCAAATTGTGTTCACGGTTSTTCATTTGTGTTCAAATTGTGTTCACGGTTCATTTGTGTTCAAATTGATCAATATCGAAAATCGTTACTACCGTGTTTCTTAGGCGATTTAGGAATTCATACAAGAATGAACATGAAAGATCAACAGTAAAAAAAATTAATAATATGAATGCATATTTTTGGGATTTGATTGTTTGTAACTCCCCATTAATTGTTTGGGGGTTATAAATGAATTCAATTTACTAGAATACCTATGTAAAAGTAAAATGAACAAGACATAAACCTATAAGAATAATTGAATTTGATTGGTTGAGAGGGTTTTCAAAGTTAACACAAAAATGATGGTTAACATTTGATATTTCCTCCCCCTCTCTCTCTCTCTCTCTCTCTCTCTCTCTCTCTCTATATATATATATATATATATATATATATATAT